CCTCATTATATGCAGGGAGATGTGCTTGAGATTGCGAATGCTTTTAGATGCTTTTCATCTTATTCCCGTAGGCCCGTCAAAATATACTTATACTAATATGCCTAAGGCCTTGAACAAATTATTTATTATTATCACACCAAAAGGAAGACCCATTCGTATCAAACGATGGAAAAATGATAAACATTTTTTTCGATATTGGCATAGAATTGATGATAGTAGAAAGTGGACTCAGCTGTGGACAAACAATTAGTCTAGATTTTAGCAGAGTGGATCACATTGAAGTATAGTGAAAAAGATTCTTTCGTTTTCTGGCATCAGATCTTGTATCACAGAAATTATTTCATTCGGACACTAATACACGCATAAAACGGATACTACAAGTGGTATCCTATACTAAAAAGTGGATCCAATTGGAAAATTGGAGCTGTGGTAAAGCTTCTTCTAAAGTCGTAAAGTTCCTGATGGATTCTAGTCTCTTTTTCAGTCAATTAGCGAGTTGGTGTTGAGCGCTTTACTGATCCCGTATAAATAAGGTCAGTAGCGAAAGATACAGCGGTCGAATAAGGCAATGAAAGTAAAAAAGAAATGACCTAGCTCTATTAATGCAAGGTTCGACCTTGTTTTTGCAACTTGGTCGAAGCGTCAAAGAGACCTTGTGAAACGTACTTAATCCTGCGTTCTCTGCCATGGTATTTGTGATTTCCAGCGTCGGAAAATGAACTTATATTGCTTCGCTTGCATTTTTAGTGAGGCGCCATCGTCAGCACAGAGTTACGGCTTATCATTGACAAATGAAGACGAATTTTCTATGCCACCATTCTGGCATCAATCATAGCCCCTATCTTTCGTTCTATCTTCTAGTGCTGCATCTCTTTTTCTCAAGCCCACTTCATATGCTCTATCTACCCATTCACATAATTATGTGCTCTCGTTTCCTTTAATGTTGCTGAAGCGGGTGTCGCAACAAGTGAGTTTAGTAAAGCATAATCATCTTCATCACCGCTTCAAGGTGCCGTTTACAGGGCTTCTGACCTGCATTCAAGCCCCTCTTCTTACACCGGCTTGCCAATGTCGCCGCTGCACATAAAAATCACGGTCTGGCTGTCTGGAATTCGGATGCCCAAGAGTCTGCAATTCTTGGCCCCGGTTACGTCATATTCGAGAATTTAGGGCCGGAGTTACCCATGCCTAGGCATCCTCCCCTCTCTTTGCTTTAGACTCATCATCCAGTTAACCTCTTTTTCATCCCCACCCACATTCTATCTCATTCTTTGAGGCCCTAAGTCTGTCTTAAATCAGAGAGGCCGGTGTAAAAATGCATCTATTCTCTTTTTCCCTTCCTGAATGGCGAAATGCACACTCTTCTTGTCTCCCAAGTTGACAATTTCACCTAAGCATAGGTCACTAGTCAGTTGTTCATATACACGTCGGTTGGTATCCCCCCCTTGGGTCAGGCATATTATCATTAACCTCCCCCTAAAGCCGGCATCCAAAAAATAAACATAAGCACGCAACCATGCACACAGAGGACCAATATCTGACACGCCTATACCTTTAGCCCAGCACATCTAGAGGAGCATAATCTGTCTGTTTGTGGCCTTTAATTTCCAATTCCAAATCCCACAGGTGGACTCACACAGGTACATTTGCATGCTGAGTCTAGGCTATACTCCTCTCACTGCCATTGCCTTTTCTTTACTTATCTTTGTCCTTCATCGTGCTCTCCTTGGCGATATCTCTTCTTGTAGTTCAATAGTTATCCTTGGTTTAAAAGTATTTTTTTGCAATTTGGAATGAGAGGAGGGAAATCAAGGACACTTTAGTGGAGGTGATAAATACTTCTGAGAAGCTACCAGAATAAACCAAAAGAGAACTGAAAATGGAGAACATTCCGTTAATCTTGGCGCATCAAGAACCCATAGATAGGAAAAATATAACAGATGTATAGATAATTGAAAATTAACGTTTGAATAGTTCTACTAAACTAAGAGAAAAGGTTAGGAGGACTTTCATTTTGGATGAAATTGAATGAAGAAGAGATTCGTCGGTCGATATCACCAGACGAGGATGGATGAAACTCGTTGTACTGCAGCCGTTTGGCTTTTCTACGATATTTATGTTGACGCAATCCACGAGACTGAAAACGTGCTGATCTTTCGTCCATCATTTGATGCACATCATCAGAGCTGGCTGTCATTCTTGTAAGTCTCGCGTCAACACTGAAGCAAGAATAATATCCGGCTCTATCTTACTTCTTATATAAACTCAATTGAGCCAAAACAAAATTAAAAACCTAGCTAGATCGATATAGAGTGATTTGGTTAATTTTCTTTCATACTCGTTCTGTTACTTTTATTCGAGTGTAAGCGTGTGTGTATGTGTGCGTGTTAGCGTCTATATGGAATACGGTTCCTAAATCAGAGTTGCCGAAGGTTTATTCTCAGATTCTGAACCTCCAGGCCTAATGACCCAAGAGAAAGCCTTGACCGAGACTGCGTAAGTCCGTAAACAAGTATGATTGAGATAATGAGATGAGCTTGTAAGCATGCAAGTCAAGTCACGAAACCACTTATTATAGCCTTTAAGTCCAGGGTCATTGACGTTTAACCACCCAAGGAAAGGCAAGACTGGGGTTGCGTAATCTGACATATCTGGTTGGGTTGATGAGCTTGCTCTAAAATGTTGGACGAATGTGAGTGAAATTAGAAACATCATTGAGCAGACAAATTGAGTCGTCTTCTTTTGGACGGCGGCTCAACACCCTCTCTCTCTCTTTCAATCTATCAATCAAGCATAAGTAATTCCTACTCAACTTTCTACCTCCATTACTCACATTCAATGTATTTTCTGAGCTATTAATTTCAATAGCTTCTCTTATCTTTCTTTTAAACACAGACGTACCCTAATCAGCAAACCTACTAATTTGAGACCATTTTATTTGATGTCCAGTTTCTACCATGTGTTCGGCCTCTTCTGACCGTTGGATCCAGCTACCTTTGCAAGAATTTTTTTGTGTTCTACCAACCTTTGTCTAATAGGTCGGCATGTCTCACCAACATAACATCGACCACATGAGCAAACAATCTTGTAGCAGCCGTATCTCGATAATGGGTCATATGTCTGTCTAAAAGATGGCATAACAGAAGAAAGTCTGAGGGTTTCTTTGAATACTGTTTTTATGCCCCAATTCTTTAATAATTCGCCTATCTTTTTTGAGAGAAGGCATGCCGGCAAAGTTAGGACATAAGAAAAGGTCTCAGTCTGTCTCTCTTTGATTAAATGGTCTGTCTGAAAATTTATGCCTCAATAGAGAGATAATTTTTCTCAATAAGGCCCAAAGAATAATTATTTTCCAGGAATATATTTGTCAGCCATTCCAACTCTTTAGTCAAATGTTTGCTATCAGCTAGCCTCATACTTCTAATAATAATTGACTTCACAATTCTAACCTTAGTCTTGTAACTATGGTTGGAAAGAAAATTAAGCAAAGAGCCAACATATGCCGTCTTCCTATAAACATCTCTTCCTAACAAACAATTTTCTCTAATGATGAGAACATCCAGAAAAGTTGAGGACTTGTTCTCTTCCATTTCCATAGTGAACCAAATTTTCCTTTCACGCTGGTTGAGAGAAAGTAGGAAACTATCTAAACTGTCCTCACCATGAGGCCAGATGACAAAATTATCATCCATGTATCTAACCGACAATTCGGGGGTTAGTATTGCCTCTAGAAGCAAGTGTTACTAAAATGTTGCCATATAATTGTTCGCTAAGATGGGAGACAGACAAGATCGCATCGCTAATGCTTGTATTTGTTTGTATAACTTACCATCAAAGATAAACTGTGGTACTCATGCATAGATTAATAAGTCTAATAATGGAAGCTACAGTTAGCCTTATTCCTTGTGTTAGCTCTGGATGTTCCTCAAGGGTTTGTATCAGAGATTGAATAGCTCCTTGAACAGGAATGTTTGTGTACACAACGTCAAGACTTGATAGCTTATTCTCTTCTGAGATTGTCTGCTGATGTAGCAATTTCACAAAATCATACGAATTTTTAACTGAATATAGCCAATAATTGGCAGAGTTCCTTATTTGTATGCATAAAAACCGTGAGATGTTATGCATAATGCTTTCTTTATTATTTACAATTGATCCTAGAGGGACACCCTCCTCGTGAACATTAGGGAGACCGTAAGCCGTGGGACCCTTGCATTTTCCTGGAGTAGTGAATTCATTTTCCACTTCTCCATTTCACCATTACTTACGCACACCTCAAGGGCATCTTTTAGTCTAGTCTTAAGTCTTTATGTTGGGTCTTTCAGTAAAGGCCTATACGTGTCATTATCATTTAAATGAACTAGCATTTTTTCTACATAACTTGACTTGGCCATGACTACCACTGCTCAACTTTTGTAGGCTTTCGTTACAACTACAAATATGACAATCTTTCTTAGGTTATATTATATGGTCAAAATGAGGGATTACATACAGGTCAATACTATTCCTTATCTCTTCAACAAGTATTTTCAGGGAATGGTTTACCTTATTTGGAAGAGCAAAATGCAGTCCTCTTTCCAATAAAAGTGTTACACTACCCCCCATAGTTGTACTATAAAAATTGATTACCTTATCCATCCACACTTTGTTACAAGCATGGTTAATAAGACTTATCTTAGGCGCAAAGCTTCCCGACTTTATTCTAATTAGTGAATTCCGGAGCTTCTTATTATGTATCCGACGCGTAGTTCTGCCAGTCGCCTCTCCTAACCCGTCAGCCATGTCTTGTAACTAAATGAAATCCACATTATTCAATAGTTCAGAAAGATTGCTTAAGCTTAGTTTTGGTTCTAGTTAGTTCGTGGAGGTTGTTAATGCTTTCGTTGAGCCTAGTTTTAACTAAACCACACTTTCATACGAAATGAAAGTCATCTTAACAATGTTATCTCAAGACAATCATCGAAACCCAGTTTCTCTTCGTATGCATAAGAGAAAAGGCTTTTGCTCTATTTCGTAAAGAATGAAACCTTGCTCTAATGATGTCTGTCAAAATACAGACGAAAGATTAGCAGTTTCATTGGGGTCGCAGAACGGTAATTCGACAACTTCTTCGCACAATTCAACAGTCTTCCCTGCGCGGCAATCCTCCTTTAGTTTCCGGTGAGACCACATCATGAATTCCTTCCAACCAACTTTCCCTTCGAAATGGAGTCATGCCGCAATATTTCATCAAGGAATTCTTCAAAACCCAGTTTTCCTTCACTACACCTTATCAACTGCTAACAAAATAGCCAATAGTTGAAATCAACAAAGTGGAGTGCTCCGCAGTTTACAGCATAAATTGTAAGGACTGTAAACAAAAATACATCGGAGAGTCGGGAAGGACAATCAGAACAAGGATCAAAGAACACCAGCGACTGCAGAAAAATGGATACAGAAAGATGAGTGTGCTTTATGGGATTAATGAGAGGAAAAGGGAAGCGATGCCCTTTCACACCAGCGGTTCCAAATTAAACCGGACACAGAGTATGAAATTCTATTTGGGTGGGGCTGAGGACGATAACTGGACAATGAGTCTGAAGAATAGAGAAAGATGTCTAGGCAAACACATCATTGATTTTAAATCCTCGAATATGATGTAAACGAGGACGAAAAATGAAGGCTCTTAGGCAGCCGGATTTTGGACTATAAGACAGTGGTTTTCATTTTAGCAGCGACCAATCGGAAAGCCTGGATGAAAAATGAAGGTCTGAAGCCCTGAGATCGGAAACTGTGATGATGATTATGCCTCACCAGACTCACTTGTAGCAATACCTTAGTAAGTGACATTGGAGGAAACGAAAGCACAGAATTGTGTGAATAAGTAAATGGGCCATAGGAAGTGGGGTTGTGAGAAAGAGATAAAGGATTAGAGGGTAGGGCAAAAAATATAGACGAGGAGTGATGCCAGAACGGTTGAACAGAAAATTGGATTCATTTGTCAGTTTGATAAGTTGTAATTCTGTGTTGACGATGGCACCTCTCACTGACGAAGCCGGTGAAACGCATAGTCGATGGTCCGATGCTGAAAATGACGAATTGAGTAAATACAGCCTCTGGATAGCGTTTATTCCGCCGTTGTCTCTATTAGTTAATTTATTTTACACTATTCACAAACATGCATTTGGAAAAAAATCACGAAGTTATTTGATTGGTGGCTTCCAAATCACGTGGCAAG